TGCTGTTGTAAACACTCAGTGGGGGTAGGAGCCAACAAAGTAATCCTTTCAAAGCATATGTATACTTCAAATGGGCACGGAGACTTTGTAGAATACGTCATAATCCAAATCACTGCCTATACAGCGCCAATAAACCTGGATATCTATGATATAACGAAAACATGCTGAAAGCTGCATCTCAGATCAAGTTGATTCATTCGATGGTAATGATCTGCTCCTGCATGCCTTATTCGACATATTGAATGGAATGGTTCGCAGTTATTCTGGTACTAGATCGAAAAGAATAAAAAATTCACCGGTTGCTGAATCAAAAGTACTTCTCTGCATGTTTAACTGTATTCTAACTGCTATGATTAATTCCAAACCATTTATCTCATAATCACTCAAATTCCAGGAACGATCCAATTCTACCATTTAAAGAAGCTGGCGAACATGCCGTAAATGAGTATTCATGATCTGAAATGAAGAAGCAACTGGTTTTCAAATAGTTTTTCAACATCTTACTCAACTTACGAGTACAGTCCGCCATGCAGACACAAATGGCGCAAATGGAGAATTCTGGAATCGACCTCGGCACCATTTGATGCAGTAAAACAACCAAACATGACCTTATCTAGTTTTCGCCTCCACGATCAAATTTCTTTCCTGTTATGAAACTACGATAAGACTGCTGAAAAATGGAATAAATATATCACTGATCTCAACATAATACATCAATAATCTTTAAGCCAAGGGTGCTGTTCACAACAAAGTTATATAGGAGAATTGACTTCAAGCTTTATTTTTCCCAGATATCTGTATTACATTCATCTGATGTCTGGGTTTTTTGTTAATGCGAAGACAATATTTCTATATCTCTTTATGTGCTACACAAACAGACTTTATAGCAGACTGTTCCGACTGACTCTAATGTCAGAAAGAACAACCAAACTGTAAGTCCATTATACATCAAATTATGTGTAATTTATATAACAACTTATCCATGCCTGTACAATAGGTATGTTCCTGCATAAACAGGAAGGAATATATTATTATTATTAAAACAATATTTATGCATGCCTATACAATTGGTGTACCCTACATAGCTAGGGAAAAAATGTACCTTCTTATATTATCTTTACTAAATATGCTTATTAATATTATGTGTAAATTATCGAATTGATGATGCCTGTAAACTGGCGTCCCTCATGTAAAAAATGAGAATATATTATTATTATTATTATTATAAAGACAATTTATGTTGAGTTACATTCACGAACTCCTTTTGAAGTGTTTGCGTTTTCGTGTACCACGGTATGATTCATTCATATGGTGTACAGGCTGTTCACTATATGAAGTGTGATAAGGACAAAATAGAAGCTTTCTTTCATAAATAAATAATAAATATTACTTAGTCACACGTTTTCCCCATTGGATGTTGGGTGAAGAGCGGGTTAACTGGTTGAAACGCTTCGTTTTCATTTTCACGTCTTGTCCTATGTAAGTTGTCCTCAGTATGGTTGTAAGATACGGAAAAATCTTAATGTGATTATGTAATAAAAATTTTTGTGGCACGTTACTCACTTTTACAAACCTATTTTTAATTGGATGACTATATATACATAAAGTAGGTCAGTGAGTCACTAGTTCTATAACAACGGTTTTTGTTATGCTCATCATCCTTGCCAATACTTGATTTCAATTACTCGCAAAATTTCGTCATTTTGTAGCATTATAACGTGCGTGGAAAGTTTCACGGTTACAAGTGTTTCTAAGGGCCCCGGTGAGCAACATTCGTGTAGCTACATACCTCCGGGATACATTTCGAATAAAAGAAGCCTCCTGCCTTCCAGAGAGTTTTTACCACTTTGGTTTTTCAGTCTCCTCGAATACAGGTAGGTTATATACCCATTAGGAATCAGGCCCTCCTTTGGTTCCTGGCCAACATACTTCTAAACCTCGTCTTGTCTACTAGCAGTTAGTAAACCTGGAAAAGAGGGAAGTTTGGGTCTGAAGTTATCAACCTCATCCTATTTAAATGACACAATCCCTATGAAACATCAGAAGCTTGTTTTACTCGGAATTCAGGGAAGGAAATAAACCACCCACACCTTATAAATTTGAATTATATATATATATATATATATATATATATATATATATAATCCACTCTTTAATGCGAGAAGAGGAGTTTTACTGCCGACTGTTGTGCACACGAACCTCCTTCAATAAACTAGTAGATGAAGGGTGTGGGTAACGACGCATTTCAGCAAATGCAAAACATGACATGCGTTTGTATGTCATACTCTTGTCAGTGTCCAGATCACCTATACAGCCATTTGTCGAATGTTAAAAGCGGTCAACATAATAGAACACTGCTCTCTCTATATTTCAAGGTATGTGGAGTTCTAGTATGGTATTTTTGTAAAATCATCTTTAATTTTCCTGGAGAGAAATGTGAATTAGTTATATTCAGATTATTTCAAAAGAGAGCCTGCCAGTGTCATCACCATAAATAAATATATCTGGTGCGTACTGTTGATAAGACAAAACTTTTCCTGTCATTACATCATTCCTGAAAGATATATGAAGTCGAAAATACTGAGACAGGAAATTCCTGAGAGACACGAAATATAAAATTCACTTTGGGGAAAAACACATTACCAAATTCCCAGGTTCGAACAGCCGTTTGACTGGTGTATTACGATTTATAGATTTTGCTTTCACAGGGTATCGTAAGGACTTCTTGATATACGAAGTCGAATGTAGATTCTAGACAGAGGTATGACACGTATCACTCGCTGGTAAATATGTGTCTTAATACTTGTTGAAGGTCGAAATTTTAACCTATGCAGATTCGTCTAGGCTTAAATCCTGCCTAGTAATTGTGTGTTTGATGTTAGCACGCTTTACTGAGAATGTACAGAACAAAGAATCATTACATGGTCAGTGGGAACTTCCAGAATCTGAAATATGAGTAAATACGTGTATTTATAACGCACAACATCAACAGTCTTACCATTGCTTCTTCACATCTTAACAACTCTAGCCAAGATGTTTACACATCCCTACTTGAGAATATTTTCAAAAAAAGAGAATCGGATAGATAGCAGAAATGTTCATATTAGTTGGCTGGTTCACTTATTTATAATATTGCGTCAGTCCCTGATGTAGTGGTTGGTGACGAAGTATGATGCAGCAATTCAACTCAGTTGGCGTTAGTCACCAACTAGATGTATTACTTTACAGAGAATGTGCACTTTTGCACTAGTCCTCACAGTTCATATATGTTTGAGTCATATTCTGTTAAAGCAGATAGTTATTTTACTGGCGTGCGACAGCGAGACTATACTTGAAGTATGAATGAAAAGTCAGTTGATTCGTTTATGGATCTTTATCAACCAAGTTGACTGGGGTTTGCGATACATAGCAGATATCCTTTTATGATGAAACTTCACTGGTGTGGGATAAAGCTGGATAGTCAGACCAGAATATGACATCCTTTCATAGATTTTATGACTGCTTATATCAGCCATGTAAGTGAGTGTAGGTTGTGTCTTTTGCCTTGGAAGTTTTAAGAGGTAGCGTGTCCCAAAATGGTTGGTTAATAGCGCACATATCCACATTTATTATCGTCGAAGTCTTGGACATTTTGACTAACTGTCCTCTTTTACATGCCATACGTCTCTGGTCGTAATGTTATTTCATTTCTTCCGGAATTGTGTGGGCTAACTGGCATCCTTTATTTGAGGATATGTGTCATAATGCACAAACTTACTTTTGCCGGAAAAGGTAAAAGTCTAAATCTTTTTTGTAGGTTTTAATACTTTAAATTATTTAGGTTCATCTGTGTTAAATGTTTCTGTTGTAGAATCGGTCTATTCTTTCATACTAAGTTAAGCTGTTTAGCCCCTTTATAGTATGATTTAGAACTGTTCACGCTGTCATATATTCATTGCTTACCATCTCCCAGATTCAGAACGCCTGTACAAGTGTGCATTTAGTTATCTTCCTTTCACAACTTCGTACCATCATAAGATTTATATCTTATTTTCTGTGAGTTTAATAATGTGGCATCTGGAACGGATGCAGACTCGCGCAAAGTTCTGCGTTGATTCGTTAGCTTTTCAGTCGTGACTGTTGAGCCTATCATAGTAGTGTCCATATGCTCTTAAGTTTTTATTCCCCATGTGTTGTACGAGACTCAGTAGTTTAGAACTAAAACAAATACGATGCATCTTTCCTAGTGAGAAATTATGTAGTGTTATATGGATGCCGAAAAATTGGGCGTTTTTAAAGAGGCATGGAGGTAATTACTACTTTTATCAAGAGTCAAGGAAGAAGTCTTGTAGTTTTGCTGTTGTAACTTGATTTCTAAAGTTCTCGTCAATTACTTTCATACCCTGTTTGATGCATTTTGAAGCTAGAAGTAATGCTACATTTTTGTTTTGTAGCACATACAAATATATATATAGTCTCCACTTTTTAGGTAGCTTCTGCTTACATTCTTTGATTAGGTCTTAGATATCAAACAAGTTAAAACTTCTGTTCTTCATACCATTCCCATCACAGCTAGTTTGGATTTCACTTGTTTTGAAGTAGTGTATCATAACAACATTTTAGTGGTATTTATGTATTCATTCTATTTGTTACATTTTTTCTTCTGTTTCTATTGAAATGTCACTACACCGTTGGGTATCGTATGTTTTCGTTATCAATTGTGCCAAAATGTGTTTGGATAAGCAATGCAATAAACCACGATCTTACTTGTTTATCTAACATTTTGCACTAGTTAATTCGTAAAATAAAACGCACTCTAGCTTGGATGCTTCTAATTGTGGTCAGTTTGCAGTATATTTTAAATATTTTGAAGGAGTAGTTTTTCTGTGCTAAAGGTTCGTCTAAAGTACGGTGTTTCGCTTTTTTTTACCAATATTTAAACGTGATTCAATGATAGTTGTACCCGATTTATGTTTTCATTTTCATCTTGTTGTTAATAGATTATGAGCATTTTGTAAATAATGGAGACAGTTGAGAAAGATGTTTTCAGCCTAGACAAATTTGAAACACTTTCTTTAAATGATACATCTAATCCAAATGGAGAAACAAATGAGACTTCTAACTGCTTAGATGAAGAATTTTGCTGTGATCAAGATTTGGATCAGAAAGAGTACTGCCACTTTGCACACTTCATATTTAACTTTTCAGAACTGAAATCAGATCTGCCTTAGTTCAACAAACCAAAGATTTATACGAACATTATGCTAAAGAGCAGTTTCCCAGAGATCCAGATAAAGTGCGTTCACCTTGTCGGCATAAACATGTTATTTTTCGTTTTTAGCAAAAAGAGTTGATAGCTGAAATGCAAGAGCAATATTTTGATCATTACCTTTCGGAAGTTTACAGGTTTCAAATTATTCATCAACAGCAGCAAATTGAACAGGTGAATTATTATTTGTTTCAAGTATTTAATGTCTCTTGAGTGGTTGTAGGTGTAGCCCATACTTTTAATTATATTATTCAAAATAGTTTAACATAAGTAAACCCGTAGTTGGTACATTTCTTAGCCCCATGAACCAACCTCACACATGACACTAGTTTGTCGTTCATTATTGATATTTAACTGAAGTTAAAGACTGTAGAAATAAACATTTTTATAATTTAAGTAAGTACTAGAATAATATTGTTAATTTTGTTTGTACACAGTAGGAGAAAATTTTCACAATCCATCACAGTTTTCTTTTTGTGTTGTGGAATTCATCATCATTATTTTCCCCTTGGTTTCCGTATGGAACATAGAACTTAAATAAAAAATCTCCATTTTGTCCCATCCTCTGCAACCCTGCAGTTCCCACAATCACCCATAAGCTGCTTTCATCTCTTCCCTACACGGTTTCCGCCATATCAACTTCGTAGCTATACTCAACTTGTCGTTTCCTACTCAAGGATTTGGAGTGCAATGTCATCCAACAGTCTCCTCAGCACGTCTCCAATCCATCTCTATTTTTTTCAAAATATTTGTTGAGCAACAGGTACTGGTCCGGTGATAGCTCAGTTGGTACGGAGGAGGACTGTAGATTGGTGCAGTGGTCCTTAGATCGGTAGTTCGAATCCGCCTCGCTGGAACTGATTTACTTTTGTGCGTCAGTGGTTCAGCGGTAGGATGCTCGCCAGCCATGCCTGGTCCGGGGTTCGATTCCCGGCCGGCGTACATCACCTCCCCTAGCCGGTTGTAACCCTGACAAAGAAGAAAGGTTAGGTGTGAGGTTAGTAACTCCACCCCGAAAAAACACCACTGCTGCTGAAACTTCAAAGCTCATGTTTGAAGCCCTATGTTCCACTGAAAACGCAAAGGAATAAAATAAAAAAAATAAGATAATACTGCAGATACGCCTTCCCGACGAGTGCCAACTAGCACGAAACCTAGGTCCAAGGCTTCCTGCCAATTGCCTCCAACTGTCTAATATCATCGAATCAATGTGAACCGTGATGGCGAGCTACCTAAAATGGTGGCCACATGGCAAACCTGACTGACAGAATTCAGTTTGCACCAAAGAAAAGACTTGAACTGCCGCACATTTGTGCAAAGTTCTATGTCGAAAACAGACAACAGACACATAACATTAGTTACTAGTGTCCAATAAAAAAATACTGCATTGATATAAGGCTATATTTCGGATGCTGTAAGCAAGTGGGATTCCATATTAGATAACTGTTTGATATAACACAACGATATATTAGTAATAACTGGACAACGTTTCGAGCACAATTGATTGCTCAGAATCACATCACATTTTATCATAGCTGGCCTTATATAGCTTCTTCCCGTTATTTAATGCAATTTTCCAAGTATCAGTGGCTGTTGTCGCGTGATTTACATCACTTAGGATGTGTGTTGACTCGATGAACAAAGATACAGTGGTGATACTTCCTCATTTTGTTTAATCACATTACTTTTTAATAAATGGACACCACTATCCTATCCTACTGTGTGATTGCACGCATAGCAATAATCTAAGTGAAATGGCTTGCTATCATGCATTTTAGTGACATTAAATATTTGGTAACTTCGTATTCTAATTTCACACTGCTTTTTTCTCTTGCTCCTACTGTGTATATAATATTTTGATTTGTTTTTCCAATCTATTATGTATAATTTTTAGTTACGTGAAATAAAGTCAGTTGGGAAAAAATCGGATGATACAAATGGTGAATACGAAAGAGGTTAGGTTTTTTTATGATGTTTTCATATCATTATGTAGGTTAGTAAAAAACTACTTTCTAGCCTTTTCTAGAGTAGAACTGTGTTCAGTGTAACTATCTCCTTAGTGCATAGGTTAATCTCTGTTTGTATTTTCTTTACTCTACATTTTTTATGAATGAAATTGTGTGTTCTAAGACTTGAATATGTCTTCAACATCAATGACGTAAGTTTTTGAATTTAATTTCTACACAGCAGTTGTTTATTACTGGTATTTGTGACGGAATCCTCTAACTGCTTTAAATCATGTGTAGGTCAACAACAGTTTCGTTGTTAAATTTGATAATCAGTGGGCAAAATGCCAGGAAATTACTGTGTTTTGTACCGTGTGAAGATTCTTTATCTTAATAATGCCAGTTGTCTTCCCACAAGCGTCGGTTCATCGGTGGCACAGTGGTTAGGACTCTCGCCGACCATGCACATTGTCCGAGGTTCGATCACCTGCCGACGCACACCTGATATCTATGATCGGCCTGCGAAATTTGGGTTACCGATATCCATGCTGGAAATTCCATACTTGTACCAAAAATAAGATGTAGAATCAGGCTGTAATCAAAATAAAGAATAAAATAAAAAACATTCAACTTTCTTTAGTTTGGTTTGTAAGGATTAGTTATGTTTTACGGGTTGATCACGAATTGATATCAGTTAGAGAACCATTGAAAACCAGGGAGTACTGGACAGCTGCTGTTTCATCCTAGTTTTGGGAATCATCGGCATGGTTGGGGTCGCGCTAAATCACGAATTAGTAGAAGTTAGAATTCACGAGCCATTGAATCGGGTCCCAGTGGCTGAATGGTATACGAGCTTGCCTTGTAACTGTAAGGTCCCGGGTTCGAATCCCAGTGGGTGCGTACTGCCGATGATTCCCAAAACTAGGATGAAACAGCAGCTGTCCAGTACTCCCTGGTTTTCAATGGTTCTCTAACTGATATCAATCCGTGATCAACCCGTAAAAAACATTCAGATTAGGACTGTATAAAACAGTCTTCAACATAAATATTTTTACGTCTCAGTATTTCACTACTAGTCATTTACTGGCGATAATTGTTGAAAAAATTCACACGTTTCTGCTGAAAATTTTTCTACCTCTATCTCTGGTTTCAAGTTGTCTTCCTGTGTGTGAATTACTTTCACTAATAGCGGTTTTTCTTTCGAAAACAGCATCAGTTTCACATAAAATTATGGTGGTAACACCTTACGTCGTGTGAGTGATAAATAATCCTGTTTATATAAGAAAGTTAGTTATTCGCATCTAATGATTTCACGATAAACTCTTAGTCAAATCCAGTTAGAATAGATCTAAAATAAGTTAGAGTTGCTTTTATTTTACATCAGGTCGAAGGTGACAACAGTTACTCAACGAAGACATCGCTAAGCAATCTTGCTATGTAGTGAATTGGCAGGAGTTGGAATTTATGGACTAGACATTGGATCAGGTCCCAGGGGCTCAATGGTCTACGAGGTCGCCTTGTAACCAGAAGGTCCTGGGTTCCAACCCTGGGGGTGCGTACTGATGAAGAGTCCCAAACTAGGCGAAATAAGCTGTCCAGTACTCCTAGGTTCCCCAATGGTTCTCTAACTGACGTCAGCTTATGATGAAATCTTCCAACCAATCAAACAAAATATACTCTCAAGAATACAGTGTAACTTAGGAGGGATTTTCTTGTATTCATTATATATATATATATTAGGGTTTTATGGACTGTCATACTTATGTAACCCAAGTTTTATTTTATTCAGTATTTCGTAAAAATAGTTTGTTTTCTGTTAACAAAGGAAAAGAAAAAACCCTGGAAAATTGATATTTTCACTGTACGTATAGTTGTTTCATATTTCACTGGATTTTGCTGAAAAATTGCTTAGCAACATGCATGTAGTACTGTCTACTGTGTACTATACTGTTGCTTAAATTTGAAGTTGTAACATTTACGGGAATGAAATCCTTAAATTCATTCATTCCGTGATCGTTTTGCAAAAATTATGAATTATTAGTTACACTAATTATTCCAGCCTTGTTTATTTAGTGCTGGCCTCACCTGATAGTAAAAGAAATAATGCACTTAATTAATTTTATCAACGAACAAGGAAAAAAAATAAATTTGGAAAGTATAACCCCTTTTGTATGGCTGAATGTTTTATTATTAAGGGAGTTAACTAAAAGCAAAGGCGTAAACCAGCAAACATTTATTTAATATGCAGAATAGTAAAACTTTTATTCTTATTTTGATTGATCACTTTCCTTTCTGTATTGTTCCTTTCACAGTCGGTGTATTCTGCATACAATTTAGAGTACTTGATTTATTGTCTACCTTTCACTTCAACTAACTGATCTACCATTAATAAGTTTTACAGTGATTTGTTCTATATTACAGCTTATAATTGGACAGTAGAGTGTTCAGACTAATTTATTTTCAGATCAAACTCAAACGTGCCATGAGTCCATGAAGTTTTTGACAGCTTTGTTTAGCCACTTACGGAGGTATAAACTGTCTAGTTGGAGTTTTCAGGATGCTAAAAACCAGTGGCTATAGACTATTGGTGAAATCGTTTTCAGTGATGCAGACGTATTCACTATTTATGTTCTCACATATCCCTCAAATTCTTAAGTTTTTCCATTTTACTATTCTCTCCTTTCTCCCCCACATTGCTGCTAATTGTAGTTTCTTTTGAATCTCTTCCAAACAAGCCCTGGATGAAAAACTTCGACCGGAACAAGCTGGATTAGGAGAAACAAATCATGTATTGATCAAATCGCCACTCTACGAATCATCATTGAACAAGCTTGAAATGGCAGTCACCTCTCTATCTCAACTTCATCGACTTTGTAAAGGCCTTCGACAGCGTCGATCGAGAGTCATTTGACAACTACTTCGCTACTACGGGGTCCATCGACAATTATACATCTTATCCAACAGTTATATGACAATGTGCATGCCAAGTAATCCACAACGCGAAACTTACGGAAGCCTTCGGAGTATTGACGGGAGTAAGACAAGGCTGTCTACTATCCTAAATGTTTTTCCTGACTGCATTAACCTGGATAATGAGACAGACAGCGGGCAGCGACGAAACAGGCATAAAATGGACTCACACAAAAAACTTGGAGGATCTGGACTTCACCGATGGTGTCTGATTTCCCACAAACTGGAAGATGTGCGAGTGAAAAGTAACAAGTTGGCAGAAGAAGCATCCAGAGAAGATAGGACTTCAGGCGAACATAGATAAAACAAAGGTGATGAAGATTCCTGGCTAACAGCAATAGCAACAACAACAGACAACAGTCAGCATAAATGGGAAGAACCTGAAAGAAACAACCTCCTTCACCTACCTGGGAAGTGTCGTTTCAACTGCAGGCGGAACTGACAAGGATATCAAAGCAAGAATAGGAAAAGCAAGACGAGCTTTCATTACTCTTAAGTCTGTTTGGAGGTCAACAGTACCCAGCATGAAAAATCAAAATAAGATCCGGATTTTCAACTCCAGTGTGAAGTCATCGCCACTTACTATACGGATCAGAGACCTGGCGCGTCATAAGGAGCATCTCAAACAAACTACAGACCTTCATTAACAATTGTCTTCGCTCAATACTCAAGATCAGATGGCCAGAAAAGATCAGCAACAGGGATCTGTGGGAGCGAACCAACCAGGAACCGATTGTGCAACAATAAAGCAGGAAGAAATGGAGGTGGATTGGCCATACTCTGGTGAAACGAGCCATCAAGTGACATCACTAGACAAGCCGTCGAGTGGAACCCGAAAGGGAAGCGGCGAGTTGGTTGTCGTTACAAGGGTGACTTGGAGGAGGTCATGTGAAGAGGAGATGAAAACATGTGGGCAGACTTGGAGAGGGGTGAAAAAGTTGGCAGAAAACCGAACGCAATGGAGATGCGCAGCTGAAGCCCTATGTTCCTCTAGAATTAAAGGATTTAATAATATTAATATAGTTTGAATCTCTTCTCTGTTTTCTTTTCCTCTGTGTGCTACATGGAGAGTGGTGACTTAAACTGTTCTCCTTCTGTTCAAAGTTCCATGCTGAAACCCAGTTCTCTAAGTTTGATGGTTTATAGAAGTGTGGCATAGATATTGAATTCTAAATTTGTCAACGGTTGTGCTTTAGTGTATACTCATTAACTTATTATCATTCACTCTGACTAGCATTCAGATACACTGGCAGTAAATAGAGTATGTGGTGCTCGTCTATGACTGAAGGAGAATTATATACATAAAATTACATTTTGGGATTATACATTTTAAAGCCTTTAATTTTATCAGTTACTGGTTTAAGTGAATTGTATGTAAATGAATTCTCTTGACGGATAGATATTAAAAATATTCCCTAGAGTTTATAAATATGTTTGCTTTCAAAACAAAAAGTTCAAAAGCAATTAAATTGAATAATTTGCCAAAATTTTATTTACATATTTTATTTTTAAAATAAAAATTAAGATTCTCCAGTTTCACTACCTCTAATCCCTGCGACAATATGGACTCGGAAGGATATTGCTGAGTTCAAACGAGAGATTCTAGATATTCAAAAGGAATGTTGTATAAAGATTGGCTCTTTAGCCACAGCAACGGTAAGAACTGTAATTTATTTCTATTAAGCATTTGATATTCAATGTGTTCCTTTCTTTAAAAAAAAGTATTTTAGCTCACTGGTTAATTGTTCATAAGTTTTCTCATCATTTGTTTGCAAATTCCAGTTGCCCAGATAACGGAGATTTTCTTCTGTATAGCATAAAATCTTTCCTTCACGTTCCCCAGTGGAACATAGGGCTTCAAACTAGTGGCTTGAAGTTTCTATAGCAGTGTTTATTTTACAGGATGGGGTTGCTAGCCTTATGCCCAACCTTTCCTGTTTACCAGCATTATTTCTGGCTTAGCGAGGTAAATGAGTGCGTCTGTGGCCGGGGATCGAACCCCGGACCATGTGCATGATCGGCGAGCGTCATAACCTCTATGCCACCGACGCACTCTCTATGACATAGGTCAAATAAATTCTGTGGTGATAAATCAGTCTCTTAAATTAGATTTTAAACATGTACGTAATGTGTATAAGCCTATTTCATCTTCCCCGTTGACCGATTTACACTAAACCGAAATGTTCTGTGTGTGTGTGTGTGTTAACTTGTTATCACTTTTACGAACTCTTCGATGATGTATAACAGTTGAGGTGATGTTATTTGCGTGATAGTAGCTGGCAATGGAATTAGGAATGTGCATTTTCTCCTATTTGGAACTCGTCACGGGGATGTACATACATCCCCCAGTAAGCGATAGTGTCACCACTGCGACTAGAACTCAGACTCCACTTTTATAAATGCCAAAGCACTATCCAATTTTGATATTAAACATTCTTTAACTTTTCTTGATCTATTACAGCTTTTGATGGGGAAAATCAAAGTGACTAATCTGCTTTCAATTTCTTACTTGACGTCTGTAAAAACTAGGTAGATTAATATTATGCAGTCCACTTGCTTCATTCTTATTATTTAAAGACTGTTGATGAAAAAGAGATAAAGAGGGGAGTAAAATTAAGTGATTGAAGATTTACTGGTCACTAAAGAGGCTAAACTTGTTAGGGGAATACTGCTTTGTATAATTTTATTTTACATCAGAATTCCGTCCTAATTACTACAGCACGTGCTTGCGGTCTATCTCCTGTGTGAAGTGGTATAATAGGTTGAGCGATATTGGGGTTAGGCTTGGGTAGAGTGCTAGGTAAGGAGGGAAAATCAATCGACGAGGCTGTGAAGCCACATCGACTGAGGTGGTTAGGACATATGTTACATATGCCTAGTCATCGCCTTCCTCGACGGGCAGTGTTAGCTGACATAGGGACAGGCTGGAAAAGAAGCAGTGGTGGTCAAACCAAAACATGGCACCAGTCAATGAAATCTACAACAGTTAGTTTAAGTCACGTAGGAAGGTGTAGACTTCCTGGTTGGGGTCATCGGGACGGTAAAAACCAATGCTTGGAAACAATTGGTGATATGGCTCAAAATCGCTGTCAATGGCTGGCGCAGATGCATCCACTCCTTGTGATTTATGATTTCCAATGAAACTATATTGTTCTTCGTTATTACTATTTCTTTGTTTCACACCTCTGTTTACTGTCTCTATTATGCATTTCTTCTACTTTCTCCTCTTTCTTTGTGTGCTATATGGAGTGTGGCGACTTGAACTACCGCACATATATGCAAAGTTCTATGTCAAAAATAGACAGACAGACAGCACGTGATTGAATTATCTAGTTAGAAAATAATCCATTAAATTGTATTAGCTAAGCATTAAATAATGTTAGTAGTAATGAAATTGTTATTTTTGTCGATCTACATGTTAGAAAAAAAGTACCAAATAATGTTTCCATAGTACCGCGTTTTATCTGATAATCTTTCCCATCAAAAATGTTTTATTGTCTAAATTCTACTAGAGATACTCGTTGATGACACTATTCTGTTTTAGGTACGTGTACCAACTCATCCCAATGGAAAGGCTATATGCTGGGAATTCGCCACAGATTATTATGATTTAGGCTTTGGTTTATATTTTGAATGGGATTTGGAACCACCTGAAAATATATCAGTTAACATCTCTGAGTCAAGTGATGAAGAAGGCGGTGAAGAAGACGATGAGGATGGACCTAGTTATAATAATTCTGGAGAAAAGCCCTCACCTGAGAATGGAGATAAAGGTAGGAGGAAATGAACATTGGAAATTTTGATGTTATCTCTGTTTGTCGAGTATATATCTTTCTGAGTATTATACTCTTTTCTTACGTTGTTTAAATATGCTATTTAGTTCAGTTCTGCAGATGAATAGGTGCTCTTTTCCACAGATGATCAAATTCATCTCTTCAAAAGTGATATCTACCTTCTACGGAAATTCCTTAAACGGGCAGTTTGTTACAGTTCCGAAAATATCCTATCATTTGTTTCTATACCGTTCAGTTTGGTCTGTTGGACTTGTAGATGGTTGAGAAAAGAAAGTCTTTATCTCTTTGTACCGTTTATGAAATTTTTATTATTATTGTTCCCTTGGGTTCCTAGTGGAACATCGGGCTTCAACTGCACGTCTCCACTTGCTTCTGTCTTCTGCTCTACTTTTCACCTGCATCCATGTTAGTCCATACTCTTTCAACTCCTCTTCACACTACCTCCTCCATGTCACCCTTGCACTGACGTCCCACTCGCCGCCTCCCTTTCGGTTTCCACTCGAGCAATGACCTGACGCGCGATGTCACCGAGTGGCCTCCTCAGCGAGTGTCCAATCCATCTCCACTTTCTCCTGCATATTTGTTGGTTGGCGATTGCTTCTTGTTTTGTTTCTTCCCATAGTTTCTTGTCGGTGATTCTGTCCGGCCCGGCCATCTGATCTTCAGTATAGATCCAGCGAAGACAGTTGTTGATAAATGTCTGCAACAGGCTGTTGGAAATATTCTTTGTGACCCACCCGCCAAGTTTCTCATCCATATAGAAGAACTGACTGACTTGACGATGTTTGTATTGAAAATCTGACTGGATTTTGTTGTTGATGCTGAGTGACGAAGATTTTCAGATTGGTTTCAGGTTGATAAATGTGTTTCTCGCCTGATTTGACATCCTCGTCCGTTCCGACTGCCTGTAGTTGAGACAATGCTCCCTAGATAAGTGAATGAAGTAACCTCTTTCAAATCCCTCCCGTTGATGGTGATGTTTATGAAATAGTACTATGAAATAATTCCTGCACTTCAAATTAACCAGGATGTCTGATCTGAAATTTACACAGGAAAGACAAAAGAAAATATCAGTTTGGATTTCGTAATGATACGAAATTCAAAACGCAGGCTGCCTATAATTCAAACCAAAACTTGCGCGATCAGTTTGAGAACGGGAATACTACTCTGATGCACAAATTTTTTTTATTAAGATCGATCATAAAGACTATACTAGCAACTTTGCTTATTATATAATTATATTTTACTCACTTTACTAGGAAAAAAGTATGTCTAATAGGTGATGGATGAAAAAAGGTAATTTCGTTGTGTAATGATGTCAACACTTACGGGTTATCTGATAATTCTGGCAGGTATCGTTCCTAGAATAACCTTTTAAGCTATTGATATAAGTATAAAACTTAGGCCTTGTGGTAGAGTACAATTCCATTATAGATAATATTTTATTTTGATAAATCACACAGTGTTGTAGAGTAGTATTAGCTGATGACGTTTCGAGCAGAAACTATTGCTTATAATCATATTGAGTTATTACCTTTTCTGAAGTACGGTAGAAATTGTCACATACAAGAATAGCCAACAGGATTACAGTTATACATTCAGTTTTAATATGGTTAACAGTGGCATATCAGAAACGAATTAAACACGTTTGTTTGAATCAGGGCTCAAGGTAGCCTATATGTTGTTGAGCTAATTTAATACTAATAATCTCAGTTAAAATTCAAGCTTAATTATAACAACTTTTTTGAGTATCTTAGCGATGTTCCAGAAACTGTCAGCCAGTAAATTAACGTATTCTTAGCATCATGTTAATGCTTTGTAAGTAGTCGTGTTCCTTGGTTTTTCATCTAATCTGATCATTTAGGCAAAGTTATTTTTTAAGAGAACATTCTATTTTTAAAAAAATACATAGTAGTTGGCTCACGTACCTTTTGTTTATGAGACCAGTGGTTTAGAAACACAGATTTTTGTCGAAAGGTGTTAGAATTTCAATTTTGTTGAATTTCACATTTAAATATTTAGGTAAAATTTCACAAGTTTATTCAAGAAAATGAGTATAAATTATATATATCTATATATATTTGGAAATCCGTCAGGTTTAAAGTAATTCTCATGTGGTATCTTCTTTGGCCAAGGTCAAAAAAAGACATACAAGCCTCACATCCCGTTGGAAACATTTAGTAGATCACATAGACTGACTGGCATGTACTTTCCTTAAAAATACAACACATCACTAATGGTGTACTAAGCTTTAAATCCAAAGTAGGAATCAAGAGAATTGACGAAGATGAAGTTATGAAAAATTATTATATCAATTCGTCATATGCTACTATTCCTGCTGTCGAAAGTCTGAATGTTATTTTTCTTCTCCGTCTTTCTGGGCAGTACCTCTTCCAGTCTCCTGATTGTCACATTCAAAACACCGGTCTTTCCTGGCAGTCATTCTTAGCGCCACTACTTCACTCTGCAAATCTTTAGTTTCCTATTTCCATTCGTTCTATTTCGGTGGCTTTGTTGCGGTTACCGTTGTTCTCAACAGCTATCTGGTCACCTTTGCTAGCTCACCAATGTCCATAGGCTGTGCAACGTTAACCAGCTGTAGTTGCTGAGAAATGTGGTCGGGAACACTCTCCATGAGCTGTGAAGTCAATAACTGCGGTTCTGACTCTTCATCCAATGTAGGGAGTGCGCAACGTAGTAGATTCGTCAACTTCACCACCAACACTAACGGGTCTCCGTCAGATCCCAGCTTCTCACACGGAACTGCTGCATCGCCAGCTGCCTGTCTGCCGAACTCAGCTACCAATCATTCAACCAATACCTTCCAGATCTTTCCACCACCTGGCCGCTTCACGCTGTCATACTCCGCCTCTGCTGACGTCTTATCAGCTTCTTCAGCACAACCTCCTACGCCGTCAGTTCCTTGATGCCCACCAACTCAGCGATGTCTCTGAAGTCCCGCAAGAAGCTCCTTGTTTCCTTCGTAAGCAGCCGACCATGAAACCTTCATTGTCTTGAGTCAGGGACACCAAATATAACGGTAAAAGACAAATACTTGGTAACAGAGTGTTTATTTGAAATTTGGTATCACTATATAGAGAAATTATGTACGTCCTATCTGGAAATTGTCATGTGCACAAATCTTCCGTTTTGTACTACTTCTACCTTTTGTATAGTTTTTCTTTGTCGTCTTTACGTGGTTTCCTGTGTTTTGCGGAAACTCTTGTTCATTTGCTCTGTTTGGCGTCAAATCTGTCTCTCCACTATTTGATATTTATATGCTGATGACCGTCTCTTTATATACTACTGACAAATCTTGTCAGTAGCACATGCCATATTGTCACGCGTAACCGAGACAGTTCTTCAAAAACATGCACCAAAGTAGTTGTTGTTTTATACAGTTCAAACACATCAACAGAAGCAGCATAAGAGCACTCCTTAGAACACCAATAATACTAAACAACAATGCCTTTCCAGCGGAAAACAACTTTCTTGAAGAATTGACAACCTGTTTACAAACTAAAATGCTCAGACTGGTCTGGAGTAAATATCTTGGGAAATCGAGGTCAGAAGAATCAAAAATCGTAGGATTTCTATTCATCACCAAGAAGTTAAACGTAACCTGAAAGTCTTGAAAAATCTGCTGTCATAAGTTTACACCCGTAGTATCAGGCTACAAGATTGATTTTGATATTATAGAAACTATTCAGGGAAGTTGCAAAAGACTCATGAAGAAAATCTCATAGCAGACGTATTTCATATAAATTTGAATCCAAGTTAACTAAAAATGAATGGAGGGTTATTATTAGTAGTAGTAATGTTCCTTTCGACTACTAGTGGAAGGTAAGGTTTCAACAGGATATCTCCATTTCGTCCTGTTTTCTGCAGCTCTCTTTAGCTCGGCCCATAATTGCGATAGTCTGCCATTTCCTCCATACCACCCTCGGATAGACGGCTAACTCGTCGTTTCCAATTGGTTTCAGCTCGAGAGCCTGGAGCGCGATGTCATTAGACAGTCTTCTCAGCTTTTGTCTGATCCATCTCCACTTTCCTCTACAAATTTGTTAAGCAGTAGGTTGTTAGCTGGTCCGTTCTCTGTTGCTTATCCTTTCTGCCATCTGATCTTCACTGTCGAGCCAGTGAAGACAGCCGTTGATGAAAGTCTGCAGCAGGCTGTTGGAAATGTTTTTCGTGATGCGTTCGTCAATTTTCTGACCCATATAGAAGAAGTGACTTAACATTGGTGTTTAAAATCCACATTCGGTTCTATATGGTGAATACAGAAAATTTCCAAACTAATTTCAGAGTGATGAGAGTCTGTCTTGCCTTTCCGACTTTGGATTTTACACTGACAGTAGTTGAAATGATATTTCCTAGTTAAGTGAAGGATGTGATCTCCTTCTGTGATAATTCCGTTGATACTGATTGGTGTGCCTCAATTCTACAGCCTAACATGGTCAACATAAATGCGATATCAGTTAGAGAACCATTGGAAAAACTGGGAATACTGGACAGCTGTTTCGTCCTAGTTTGGGACTCTTCGTCAGCACGCACCCACTGGGATTCGAACCCAAGACCGTCTGGTTACAAGGCGAGCTCGTATAGCATTAAGCCACCGGGACCCGATCCAATAGCCCATGAATTCTAACTTCTGCCAATTCACGACAAAGCGCGACCCCTAGCCAATGTCTTCGGCGAGTATTTTTCCTCACACCCGACTGGCTGCACCCTACTGGTCACGACTTCTCACTAGAACCCCAGGTAACTACCTACCTGAATAGGGCAAGTCGCTAGTGAGCATCTCATTGTTATTCAAGTGTTGGTTTGTAGGGATTTGATTGGTTTCAGGATTTCATCATTAGCTGATATCAGTTAGAGAACTATTAGAAAACCTGTCCAGTACTCCCAGGTTTTCTAATGGTTCTCTAACTGATATCAGCTCATGATGAAATCCTGAAACCAATCAAATCCCTATAAACGAACACTTGAATAAATGCGATAGACGTTTTTATTGCAGAAATATACGATCTCTTTATAATTCATACACTGGACAAATTCAGCTATCTGCACATGTCTTTTACCAATTCATTTATTTCACAACTTAGAGTTAATTCATACAGAAAAACTGATTGAGTTAACGTATAAAAGCTCATATTTTATAAATTCTGGTTCACTAATACTTTCGTTAAATGATATAGTGTTAGTAAAGACAACAACGTCTTGCTTCTTGTCTATTGGAAGATACAAATTGCCAATCATATGCTCAGTGCTCGAATTATATCAAACAGTTGAATTCGAACTCGCTTTGTACACTTGTATATCCGATTTCAGTTCTATTCATTGTCTCATGACGTCATAGTCAAATAAATATTGTTTTTCATTTTGATTTATTTATTCATTCATCTTTTTCTTTAAATATCAGTTTAAGTAATTATAATTTCAAAGATATTGTGCTTTTTTCAATTCTTTATGCTTAGAATCTCCTCATGATTTGGAATTGGGTAAGAGATCATCACAACCTCGAGTTCCTACTGATGAACTTATACCAATTTATAGAAGAGACTGCCATACTGAAGTCTACTGTGGTACACATCAATATCCGGGTGTTGGTGTATACGTATTTAAGTTTGATAATTCTTTCTCACTTTGGCGATCTAAATGGTTGTATTATCGTATATTCTACACGCATTGAACTGCATCGTGTGGGGTTGCTCATGCAATCTCACATATATATTTTAGCCATTCTGTTGACATTCCTTGCATTCATCATTGCCATTTCGTGGATTCAATCTCTTTTTTTTCCGCAATAAATTTCCATGTTCATTTACTTTTTCATCCTGCTGTTTTAGTTCGAAGCAATATCTGATATCAGTGCTTATTTATGCATTAATTTGGCATTTATAATATTTTATAATCAATCAGGCACTACTAATGCTACTACAATTACAATTTCGCATAATCAACATCCAACTTCTGCTTTTTTCGTGTTCCTCGCTTTGGTTTTTGGTTTAGTCTATATTTTTGCTTATAACTAACTTATTTGTTGTTTAAGGAGATTAATTTAAGTGTCTCTTTTTTAAAAAAAGTCTTGTCTTAGTGACTTCACTCTTTGCCTGTGTAAATGAAAGTCTATGTATTTGAAAGAATATTTTACAAAACTCTATTATCAAAATATAATGGTATACTTTATGCATGCGCACAGTGTACGTTGCATTTATCAATACTTCTTTTATATGTTTAATCGCTTTTATTTTGATTATCTGAAAGGGAATAAAGTAATGCGATTCGGAAGCTACACAAACTCGTGTTCTCGTATATGGAAGGTAAAGATGCTACTATATATGGTTTGTTCAGGCTCAATAGCTGGAAGAAGAAGAAATGGAAAAGATTATAGCGTTCTGTTGTACAACACGTAGCATTTCATCCAACATGGTTTTGCCTAAATAAATGCAATCCTTGCTTTTAACTATACACTGAGATAATTAACTTAGAAATACGTATTTGAAGAAGTAATACGATTTAGAATTCTGTGGTGTGAGGGAATAACGAATAAACTGAAGATATGCATCTTAGCAACAGTAGATATTCTTTTAGTAATGCAATATAAGGCGTCTTTTTCAATGGACGCGAACATTGAACGTTTGTTTATTGGAACTGGTAGCCATTGACGGGCAATTCAAAGGCGCGAATGGTTCAATCGTGTACAACTTGGAAGAAGACGAAAGAATACGCATAAAAATTTTGTAATGATGATATCGAATTTAACTGCCGAAGAATATAATTTCTTATTGCAAGTCCTGGTGTTTTGGAGTTAAAGTTGATAGTCGTTCCTAGTAATTATCGATTCGGAGCGTCTTCGTAAATAATAGGAACTTAGGGTTAAGTTCCTTGACAGCGTTTGTTTACTAGCTCTATCGATTAGTAAGATACTATGGTAGCTATAACTGACTATTATAATATTAGTCATTTTGTTTACTGAAATCAAAGTAGTTACCAGTGTACTTAAACATTAGCCTATCCTCACCACTATTTGTTTTATGCAAAACTTCATATTTAGGAAATCAGTCCAAGATTGCTGTCAGTGTTAGAATTAAATGTTCCAAATTATTTAACGTAACTACACATTGAAAATTTGCTAAGAGAAAACCGTTTACTATAGATAAAAATGGGACCCCTACTTTATTTTGACCTTAGTTTAATTGTTAAGGCAGATAGGTATTCACTAAGTGTATGTGTTTATTTTAAAAAAATTGTTCTTAATGCTAACTTCCATAACCGAATTCGTGACAAATTGCCAACTGTATGTAGGTTTACGGGCGAAGAATTAGTTTATTTATTTATAATCAGCCGCCAAGGGGGTTGTTGAAGTTATTGTTTATTTGTACAAATTCTTGCTCATAGCCATAGGATAAGGGAACTATTTGGCTAAGCATAGCGCATATATATATGTAGCTTAAAAATGCTGTTTCACTTATGTATTCTGTTTGGAATTGCAAAATAGAGATTTTATTCAATACCGTAATAAATAACTCCTCACTAATGTACACGGACATAAATGAATGGAACAACAGTGAATCAATTTTTCAGTGAACATATACAACCCACCGCTTAATCATTAAAAGTCTGCTGGTAGGCCATATTGATTTGCTGCTATATGTAAAGATTTATTTGAGTATGTACAATGGTTTGTAGCAATATATATTTACAAGATTTTCAGTAAAATGAATTATTCATGTTCGTCTTCAGTCTCGCCAGGACACTGATTCAGGAGTTCGGATTGATTTTCGTACTGCAAGCTGCACCAAAAACAATAGTTATGTTGACCTCGCAGATAACTCAAGAGTTGCAGGAAGTTTCGTTGAATCTACAAAATTGGAATAAGATATGAAATTCGATCAAAAGGTGTGAAAAAAAGTGTATGACGGAGCTATCTATAATCAGTTCTTGCCAACCTCGTGAAGAACCTTGTTCCGTAACAACTGAGGTCGTAAAAACCATTTTCTTAAGCAAAAACATGTTAACTTCAAGTGCCGAGAATGACTACCATAGTCTGCTAATCTGTTAAATTTAGATTACAATTTTTGTAGGAACTTGAACTAATTCTAATGTAGATTTTGTTACAAATCAATATCATTTAAAGATCACCAAAAAACATCGGGCAGTGAACAGTTACTCTATCCTAGTCTGTGACTCTTCGCGAATGCGTACCAACCAGGGATCAAACCTGGACACCTTCATGTCTCGAGACCACGTTTGCTCGCAATTCAGCCACTTGGGCCAGAATCAAAAAATTCCATCTTCGTCAGTTAGTGATATAGTGCCACCCTCAACCAATGCCTTAGATGATCATCCACTTCACCTTAACATAGTGGACTCCACTGGCCACGACTTCTCGGTACAGCTTTAAGAAGCAAGCTCTTGCTTCGCGTGCTACACGGAGTGTGGCGACTTGAACTGCCGCACATTTGTGCAAAGTTCTATGTCGAAAACAGACAGACAGACAGCTTTAAGACATGCATCTAGTGAACATCAGTGAGCCGGAAGTCGTTAATCAGATTATGCGTTTTCGTACACTAGTAAAATATGATGTGCGAACCTGTATATGATGAGTGAAAAAGACACTGAAGGCATGTAAGTGTTTTGTTTACATTGATCATATATGAAACGAAAGTGAAGTACTTACTAATGCATAGTCACACTTTGCATGCGTTGGGTCAAGCTTAGCTAAATCATTATCTTGAAGGTCTTCACCAGTGTCATCCTCTTCAAGATTTAAATTGGGTGTAGGAAGCAAGTCTTTTGAAGATATATGGTTGTGTGTACTATTCCCCACTCTGCGTTTGGGACACTCAGTGACTTCTTCTGCAACAGGGTCAGGAGGTGGCCAAAACGACTCATCAACTGGAGTTGTAATAGACTCCTTCAGGTCTAAATCCCGACAAATTCGACGAGCGGCATGAAATTGGCGGTTTAGACGATTCTGACGAAATCTAACGGCCATAATATCGCGAAATTCATTTTTGCACGCAATATGCATTTGCTGTCTCAGAGTCTCCCTATACAGCAAACGCTCATTTTTTTCAGTAGCGAAACCAAGACCCTCACGACCCTGAGGAATTTCAATAGGAACAGGATCAGATCTACCAGTGGCTGAAAAAGAGAAACAGGAGACATTAAAAGATAATCTTATTTGTCAAAGGAACAGTATCGATAGTTCAAGTATATTCATAGTTTTTCTTGACCTAAAGTCTGATATATACACCTAGTATATATATATATATAGTATCAGAGCAGTAAATCAAACACTTACATATAAATGAACGCGTGGATTGCTAAGATATACATACCATTTTTACCCAAGCCTTTTCCTGGAACGTAGCCCATTTTTGAAAGCAAATTAAATCCTTTATTTTCTGGTCCAACTTTCTTTTTTAAACCTTCTTTGAGATGGTGGAGTTCTCTTTCTGACTTTGAAAGACATTTATTTTTACGTCGATTTTCTTCTACTAAACGCTGCCTCTGCGTATCCCGTGATACGATTAGTCCAGGTTTTACATCTTCTCTAGATATTTAATGACAAAATATGAAAGCTTACATTTCTTTCAGAATGGCATCAGACATATAGTCGACTTCATCATCCGAATTGTTACAAACAGCACCGCCTGAATATCGTACATCATTACTCATGCCTGCATTGTAAAAAATAATATCAAGAATATGACCAAAGGAAGGAAATAAAATAAAAAGGAGGAAAATTAGGCAGCAGAATAGCTATGAAGTTAATGCGGAACGACAGGGTAAAATTTCATTTTTCAGAATCAAAAGTATGCATTTTTGAAAATAAGTATACTTAGAGACCTCACAATTACCATGTTTAGAAGGGTTTGAGAAATACCAAGCTCATATATATATATAATCTTTCACTACCCTGGTAACCCTAATCCTATTTTATTTATTTTTGTTTTTTTGTTACTTACTTCACTATTCACCCCCACCCTCTTAAACTCTCCACCACATGTGTAAATTCACTCTGTTCTCTGACCTTGACCCTATAATATGCCTCTAACCAATCTGCGTTTCCCAATAGTAATCTGAACTCTAAACCCTCTTATCTAATTCCACTATATATAATTAGTTTTTTTTGACACTGAATAATCTGTCTACCTACATCAAATTCCGGAATTATGCTCCTTATACTTTCTATTTATAACTCCAAGTAATTATGAGTAATTATGTGCGGTGGTTAGGACTCTCGCCGACCATGCACATGGTCCGGGGTTCGAGCCCACACCGACGCACACCTGATATCTATGGTTGGCCTGCGAATTTTGGGCTACCGATATCCACGCTGAAAATTCCATACTTGTACCAAAAATACAGTGTGGAATCAAGCTGTAATCAAAAAAATAAAAATAAAATAAATGTTACTATATAAGGCAATTTTCAGTGCTAAGTGAATGCACTTATACATAAGTAGTTAACTGCATGTATAAGGTCAAAATTAAAATACAATTGAGTTCAAGTGATGTCAGATGGCGAGGAACATATATTAGGATCCACATATAGCACGTAATCAGCTGCTGCGTTTGACTAATTTTTTAGAAGTAAACTTTTGTAACATCTATATTAGCAACAGAACAGCCGTTAACACATAGATGTTGGTAAGCTGTTTGGTCCTAGTCTATCAGCATT